AGCAAGGTCAGCTTCGCGACTTGCTTCTTAGAGAGCAAGATCAGCTCGGCAAGGAACTCTAAGGTCTGCGAGCAAGGTCCGCTCGGCGACTTGCTTCTTGGCGAGCAAGATCAGCTCGACAAGGAACTCCAAGGTCCGCTCGGCGACTTGCTTCTTGGCGAGCAAAATCAGCTCGGCAAGGAACTCCAAGGTCGGCGAGCAAGGTCAAGGTCGGCGAGCAATGTCAGCTTGATGGCTTTCTTCCTGGCGAGCAAGATTAGCTCGGCAAAGAACTCCAAGGTCGCGAGCAAGGTCCGCTCGGCGACTTGCTTCTTGGCGAGCAAGATCAGCTCTGCAAAGAATTCCATGGTCGACGAGCAAGGTCCGCTCGGCAACTTGCTTCTTGGCGAGCAAGATCAGCTCTGCAAAGAATTCCATGGTCGACGAGCAAGGTCCGCTTGGCGACTTACTTCTTGGGGAGCAAGATCAACTCGGCAAGGAACTCAAAGGTCAGCGAACAAGGTCAGCTCGGTGACTTTCGTCTTAGCGAGCAAGATCACTTCGACAAGGAACTCCAAGATCCGCGAGCAAGGTTAGCTCGGCGACTTACTTCTTGGCGAGCAAAATCAGCTCGACAAGGAACTCAAAGGTCGGCGAGCAAGGTCAGCTCCACGACTTGCTTCTTGGCGAGTAAGATCAGCTCGACAAGGAACTCCAAGGTCCGCGAGCAAGGTCCACTCGGTGACTTGCTTCTTGGTGAGCAAGATCAGCTCAACAAGGAACTCCAAGGTCCGCGAGCAAGGTCAGCTCAGCGACTTGCTTCTTGGCGAGCAAGATCAGCTCGACAAGGAACTCCAAGGTCCGCGAGCAAGGTTAGCTCGTCGACTTGCTTCTTGGCGAGCAAGATCAGCTCGACAAGGAACTCAAAGGTCGGCGAGCAAGGTCAGCTCTGCGACTTGCTTCTTGGCGAGCAAGATCAGCTCGGCAAGGAACTCCAAGGTTGGCGAGCAAGGTTTGCTCGGTGACTTGCTTCTTGGCGAGCAAGATCAGCTTGGCAAGGAACTCCAAGGTCGACGAGCAAGGTCAGCTCGGTAACTTGCTTCTTGGCGAGCAAGACCAGCTCAGCAAGGAACTCCAAGGTCGCGAGCAAGGTCCGCTCGACGACTTGCTTCTTGGTGAGCTAGATCAGCTCGATAAGGAATTCTAAAGTTTATTAAAACCATCAACAAATCTCTTGTCGAGTAAAATTCATCCGACAAGGAATTCCAGAGTTGATAAAATCATCAACAAACCTTTTGCTGAGCAAAATCCGTCCGGCAAGGAATTCCAAAGTTTATCAAAACCGTCAACAAATCTCTTGCCGAGCAAAATCCGCCCTACAAGGAATTTTGATCTTTCCGTCAAAATGATTGTTGGTTGCCCCTTGGACAGCACTAAATCCGCTTGGCGAGGCAAAAATACAACAATTCTCAAGATAATGGTCTGCTTGTTTCATTGTGCCAATGGAAAAAAGGGTTACAAAAATAGAACTAAGAAAAAAACTTTAGATTGGCAGAGTTCGATGTTCTGAAAATGGATCGGCCATTTACATTCCGTGAGTTTTATGTCCCTTTTCCTCGGCCTTCTTATAGACGTCTTGCAAAAACCAAACTCCCTATATCTTTTCTATGGTGGTTTGCATGTCCATCACATTGTCCGACTACGTAAACCTTTCGCACTACTCTCTTATTCTCTACTACCGGACTTGTCGTCACGGTAGCTGCGGCTGCATTATCTTCGACTCAGATGTGCTCATTAATGTGTTGCATGAGCAATTCCATAGTTGACGGTTGATTCATTGTAAGCGAGTCTCTCAGTCGATGTCCAACTGGAAGACCGCGCTTATACTGAGTGATTGCAAGGTTGGTCGGGCAATCAAGGATCTCGTTGAAAGTCTTCCAATACTTAGTGTTATACGCCTTCAAAGAGTCGTTTGACTCCTTCTTTACTCTCAAGAGATGGTCAATTTCCTTGGGCATTTTAGCATTTGTCTTAAATCTAGTGACGAATGTCTCTGCCAACTGTTGCCACTCCTCGATGCTCTCCTCCGGCAGCCTCTCGAACCATTTTAGGCCCAACTCGCCCAAACTCGATGGAAAAACAAAGCACGTGAGCGCATCGTTCCGCCTATGCCCAGCCATAACCTATCAAAAGTGGCCATATATGGATCAGTCTTTCTGTCATGGAGCGTGAACTTTGGTTGACGAAACCCGGGGGGGCGATGGGTTCTCGATCTCTACAGAAAAAGGGGTGGCACTTAGCCTTGCCAACTCTCTGTCTAGTGGCGCGCGTGCCGCCAAGCGTGGTTGTGGCACGGCGACCTTCTCACTGGCTCGCCTTCTAGGGACTAGCCGCTGCAGTGCAAGCACCCTCTGCGCCTCTTGCCGTCGAGCGCGCCCCTCCAACACATCCCTTAAGTTTTTCGAACAGTCGGAGCGAGAATACCTCGACGCCGTCATCGGGCGTGAGGGGTGGTAACTGCTGTCCTGCGTGCGAGATATAGTCGCCGGTGCTACGTAGTCTCCAGCTCTGAAGCTTCTCGTGACGGAGAGTGAAGGGGTGCGATGTCTATTAAGACTATCGGAACGGTGGGAATGGGCGTGCTCACTGTTGTTTCCCACTCCAGCAATGCCCTTTCCCTTCATCTGGCGTCTCATGGCCTCCATCTCCGTCGCCGTTTTCTTGATGATGGTATCTTGGTCTCTCAGCTTGTCTTCCAAATGTTGAGTGTGTGAATCTCGCCGTCGGCGACGTTCTTTTGGAATGACAGAGCGCCCAAAACTCCTTGCGCGCTTGTCTCGCGTATCCCTGGGAAGTCCTTGTGCAGAGGTCTCCAAATCAGCCATCATCGGAATGGGGGATAGGCCATCTCTAAGACAAATGGACTCTGGCGTGATGCCGTCGATAGCGAGTAACGAAATGTCGTCGTGGTTCGCCATAAAAGAAGACCGGAGAAGCTTGGAGGACAAGGTTTTGTCTGTCAACTTCCCACAGATAGCGCCAATTGTACGGGGAGCAAATATTCCGCGGAGCCCGTACTCCTTTCGTCTAAGTTCCTTGTCTATCCGATCGACCTAGGAGCACAACGGCGGTGAGCTACCCGGCGGTGTGTGGCCGAAAAATCCCTCCAACGGTCAAGTTAGCACACACACACACACACTCAGGGAGAGAGAGAGGAAGAGAGAGACATATCACAATGAGTGTTTCTCACCAAATGATGTTCTATCCTAGGAATGGCAACGGGGCGGGGCCGGGGACTACACCCCCGTCTCCGATCCCCGAAAGTAATAGATGCCCGTCCCCGGCCCCGATCCCCGACGGGAACCCAAAGCCCGACCCCATCCCCGTCCCCGATCGGGGATCGGAGATCCCCGACCCCGAAAAATCCCCGGTGGTTTTTTTTTTTTTATCTGTAAAAATCTGTAAACATTCTAATCCTATTGAAATATATTTTTCAACATATTTGCCAATTTAAAAAATTCTATAAACATCAAATTCAAACACAGCAGCATCAATAAATCTATCAAAATGGATCAAATTCAAACACAGCATCAAAATGGATCAAATTCAAACAGCAGCATCAATAATGGATCATGGAAGAGTAGTAATGGTGCAGCTGGAATAAATCTGTCAAATATTCAAATCAATAATACAGTTCAGCCTCAGGTAATTAATAATAACAGATATGTGCAAGATTCAACAAATTAAAGATTAATAATACAGTTCACGTGCAAGATTCAAATTAAAGATTATTAAAGATTCAAAACAGATATGTGCAAGATTCAAATTAAAGATTATTAAAGATTCAAAACAGATATGTGCAAGATTCAAATTAAAGATTATTAAAGATTCAAAACAGATATGTGCAAGATTCAAATTAAAGATTATTAAAGATTCAAAACAGATATGTGCAAGATTCAAATTAAAGATTATTAAAGATTCAAAACAGATATGTGCAAGATTCAAATTAAAGATTATTAAAGATTAAAAACCATATCATATATATATATATATATATATATATATTTAAAACAAATAAATTTAGAGAGAAAAAAAAAACAGAGGTCGAAGAACAGAGATACTATGAAAAAAAAAATCGAATCGAATCAAAGAACAGAGATACTATATACACACACATATACATATATATGTGTGTGTATGTAAACCCCCCAATATCGAAATCCCGAGAGAGAGAGATACCCTTTGAAATCGACGGTGAGGGAGGATCGCCGGCGAGGGAGGAGTGGCGGTGAGGGGCGAGGAGCCGTCGTGTGTGAGAGAGAGAGAGGGAGGCGGAGGCGAAGCTCTAAGTTCTAACCAGCAGCGGCGGTGAGGGAGGAGGATCGACAGAAAGGTGCGAGCGGCGGTGGTCCCTAGCCATTGCCTGTAAGGTCGGATACTTTGGTCCACTAGCTTTCTACCAATTCAAAACATCAAAATCTGAAGTTCTTGGCAAAACATCATCTTCTAGATAATGGCCCAACTCTGATCTTACATTCTTCATTTTTTTACTTCTCTTTCTACTAATAAACAAATCAAATTCTGAAAGGGTCCCTGTAACAATTTCTGGATGAGTAGAAGAGTCACCAACAACATCGGTCTCCATATCAACTCGGTGCCGATACTCTTGCAACAAATCATAACAAATATGACGAACCCTATCAACTTCATCTTCAGCTTTGTCTCCATAAAATTTTTCAAAATAAAACTCCAATACACTCATCTTATACCTAGGATCAAGCACAACTGCAACTCCAATAACACCATGGATCACTAACCAATATTTATCAAAAATTTCAACCGTTTTTGATGCCATTGTTCTGATCACTTCAATTTCACAAGAGAGCCATTGAGACAGTGTCATCTTAATCTCACATAAAGTTGGGAAACAAACATTGGCTGTGGAATACTTTGTACCAGAAAACAACTCAGTGATAGAAAAAAAAAATCTTAAACCTCCCACTAATCTCTCTAGCAAACTCTCATTCTTGCTCAGTTGGCATAGTCTTATATTGGGGCTCTCTAATTTTCAACCTAGAAAAGACATCCTTATACAATAAGGCTGTCTGAAGCATCAAGTAGGTTGAGTTCCACCTAGTTGCACAATCAAGTCCTAATTTCTTAGTATGTGGAATACGCAACTGGTTGACTGTTTCTTCAAATTTTTCTAGTCTTTTTGGTGTTGCTGTCCAATAAGCTACACTCTCTCGAATTTTCTCCACACCCACTCGTATGACATCCAATCCATCTTTCACTATCAAATTCAAAATATGCGCATAACAGCGCATATGAAACAAAGTACCACCCAACAAAAGCGATGAATTACTTAACTTATCCATCAACATGGTAATCATGACATCATTTGTGAAGCAATTATCAACAGTAACAGTCGAGATTTTTCTATCAATATTCCAGTCCACCATACACTCAAGCAAAGTATCACAAAGAACTTCTTTTGTGTGTGGACATGGAACATAAATAAACCTAAAATATGATATTCATAAACAAGTATTAATAACATGCAAATTGAACTGAATAAGATTGAATTTTTAAATGATTTGCAAATTTACAAAAATATACCTCAAAATGCGACTTTGCAATGTCCATGAATCATCAATAAAGTGTGCGGTGACAGCTATGAATCCTTTCTTTTGATTGCTAGCAGTCTACATATCAGTTGTGATTGCCACCCTACATTTATTATGCTCCACCAAACTCAATGTCTTCACCCTCTCAAAATCATAAATCTTTAAAATATCACTCTTTATCATATTTCGATAAGGCACTTTAAACAATGGTTGAAGTGCTGCTGAATATCGTTTAAAACCAACATGGTCTACGATAGAGAGGGGATATTCGTGCAAGATTATGGCATGTGACAATTCTTTCCTAGCAAAATTTTGATTAAAAATATAAGAATTCATTTTTGGACTCTCTCTACTAAAGTTGTTAGTTAACACTTTTTGCCTTATATCCATCACTTTTTTTCCTAGTACAACTCTTATGGTGATCATGCAAATGCCTAGTTCCATTTTTTGAATCACCTCCAAGATGCTTGTTATAATAATTACATATTGCCTTCCACACCCCATTGACTTGTTATTTTTTGATATGTTCCCACACAACACTAGGTTTTCTTTTAGTTCCTCCACAAGTAGTATTAGACTCTTTTTCTAAATCAATAACATTTTGATTAGAGAGGGGAGACGGTGAGTTCATAGGTGTGTTTGTAGCTGGCGATGAATGTTGTGACGCGCCATTCTCAAATGGTACTTGAGAGTTAATGGGTACTTGAGAGTTAACGAGTACTTTAGAGTTAACTGGTGCTTCAGAGTTAACATCTGACATTTTTAACCTTTATAAAAATAATATGGATTGAATTAATATTAACAGAGGCAACATAAAAGTAGATTACTGGAGCTGAGAAACAAATTAATAATAACTAAGCTAATGGATTGAATTAATGGAATTGAGAAACATTAATTTTCTTTTTTCTTTCTCTGTTTTCTTTCTTTTAGATGAATGGAATTGAATTGGGACATGTACCAATAAGATCTTCGATAATATAAAAAATTAAATAAGGTCATCCTAACATGTACAAGTTAAATACAAACAAGCTAAGTTTGAGTCAATATCAAGGTAAATTTGAGCTTGATAGAAACATAACAAAGCCAAGCTTGAATAAAATGAGAGAGCACATAATATTGTTACTGATTTTGAGAGAGCATAAGTTCCACACAACACACAATCTAACCTCAACTTTAAACCAAAATGCATGTCTATAGTAATTCAGGAAACTTACTTCTTCGCTTAACTTCCAAATTTCAGCTGTGTAGTAGTCAATTGTATCCACAGTTTTTCCCCAAAGGCCCCAAAAACTTGTCTATACAGAACGGAAAAGTGAGATGGTGAACTTAGTAGTTATAAGTCACTTTAATAATAAGAGATCCATAATCATTTGTGGATGCAAAATGTATAAAAGAAACTCCAAATATGCTACTTATTTTTCCCTATATTACTGCATAAAAGTTTCTATTACAACCCAAAATATTACAGATTCACAAGTATAGAAACTTGAGAAAAAGATAAACCTGATGTGAAAGATAATGATCAGAATGATTTACGCAAAAGAAATGTTCAACGCGCTCACTAACTGATTCATTAGGGTCTGTTCAACGTACTCAATAAATAAATAAAAGATCTATACATATTAACCCCTCCTCATATCTCATATTTTGAGAAATGTGTCAACACTAGTTCCTAACTCACAATTATTAAGCTTCATATTAACATGGAACTGCATAAAAGTTTCTATTACAACCCAAAATATTACAGATTCACAAGAATAGAAACTTGAGAAAGAGATAAACCTGATGTAAAAGATAATGATCAGAATGATTTACGCAAAAGAAATGTTCAACGCGCTCACTAACTGATTCATCAGGGTCTGTTCAACGTGCTCAATAAATAAATAAAAAATCTATACATATTAACCCCTCCTCATATCTCATATTTTGAGAAATGTGTCAACACTAGTTTCTAACTCACAATTATTAAGCTTCATATTAACATGGATACAACAAGCTACATAAAGGTTTAATCTCAGAGTTCCAAATGTAGCTGAAATAGTCTTCAAATTGCACTAGTGTGATACTTTTTCCAAGTTTGCAAAAGTTGCTAGATTATTTCCTAATATGAAAGTGTTCAAAGGTGGAGTGATTATTATGTGTAAACTCACATCAATCCAATGAACAACCAAACATGTCTCCTCATGTAAACAACATCAAAAACAGATACAAAGAAAACTTCTTATAAATATAATCAACGATCATCAATAACAAATCAAAACTCAACAATAGCAAAAAAACAGCCCTGATTATAAAATTAAAAAAAAAAAACCTTTATAATCCTCTTTCTCAGAGACGATCCAGCTCCCCTCAAACGAATCGTCAAATGTACGCAAAAGAAATCTGTGTGAATATTCATAATAGAACCTAAACAGAACCTAAATAGAAATTGGAGTTTCTTTTTATAAAGAACCTAAACAGAAATTCATAATAGAGTTTGAATAAATCTGTGTGAATATTTATTTTTATAAATCTACATAAATCTGCATAAAAAAAATATTGTATATAAACAGATATATATATATAATAAATAAATTTAGACAGAAAAAAAACAGATCTGTATTGTATTTTTTACAGATCTATACACTCAGATCTAAATACTCAGATATATATATAATATATATACATATATGTAAACCCTAGATCAAAATCCCTAGAGAGAAAGAGAGAGATACCTAAATAGAGAGAGCACGACGAAGGAGCGGCGGTGATAGATAAAACAGAGAGGGAGAGACCAGTGGCGAGCGATAGGGAGAGACCAGTGGTGAGCGAGAGAGAGATGGGAGCACCGTGTGTGAGTGAGAGGCTCGGTGGTGACGGAGGATCGCCGGTGAGAAGGGAGGCGCGGCGGTTATAGATGAAATAGAGAGGGAGAGACAGTGGCTAGCGAGCGAGAGAGAGAGAGAGGAGCGCCGTGTGTGAGAGGCTGTGTGTATGGGTTTGTGAAACTCTAAACAAATACAAGCATATATATATATATATATACAGGGGCAAAACGGTAATTTTACATCAGGGACTAAAAGGGGTCGGGTCTGAAACACTTATCCCCGTCCCCGGCTCGGATATCATCGGGGATAAATTTTTGAATACCATCCCCGGCTCGTAGGGGATATTTTGCAGTGAATAACCACTGAATTCGGGGTCGGGGAGTCGGGTTACCGTCAGGCCGGTTTCAGATTGCCATCCCTATTCCATCCCAGCATGGGGGGCGCAGTCATGCTTATATACTTTCTGCGCTCACCTCTGCATCCATTCGCTTATTGATACGTGGAGCTGCTCTCCTATCTGTCAGCGCAAATTCAGCTAAACACCACTTAATCAAACCGCCAGTCGGCATTGGCGGGAATGGACAGTCCAGCGGAATTATCTCGGCCTCCTTCGACTGAGCTACTTAACGAGCCCAACAGTCACTCGCCGAGCTCCATCACAACCGAGCTCAGTAGCATTCCAGTACGGCCGAACTCTAGACAAGTTAGGCCGGTCCGAGGGAGACCGATCTCAACGAGCAAACAACGCGAACCGGGCTAGCAGAGAAGTTATCCCGGCCAAATCGGACCTAGGCTTTAACCGAGTGCACTTCACATGAATTGTCCTAGCTCGGCCCAAACATGCTCGGACCAATTTTAGCCCGGTCATTACCACGGCCTAAAGCCAAATTATGAAATCTCCCTCACAGCCATGATGCAAGTCCCTTTGCTAGCCTTAAGCTTTGAGCCCACTAGCGTGCTTTATTTGTCATATGTGCATGATTTAGCATCATTTTGAATGTAATTTCAGAGCTTACTTCATTGTTACACTCTCACATTTGTCACTTTTTCATCATGTTTGAGAGTTGTGCTATTATGCTTAGTTCATGGACCAATGCATAAGCATGCATTTTCTTGTTTTTTTCATGCCATCATTTCAGCATTTTGGCCACTGTTTTGGACCCTCTTAGGTTTGTCCATATGCGGTTTAAGTCCATTAAGTGTTGCATTACATAGCCCTTGCCATTGCATTGTTGTTTGCATGTTGTTGCATGACATTGTTGTTTACATGTGGTTGCATGCTCATGTTGCTTGCATATTGTTGTTGCATGCTCATATTATTTGCATGTTGCATTATGTTTACATGTTTGTTGCATTGCATTGTGTTTGGATCGGATGTTGATCCAAACACGAGGAACGAGGAACGTTTCATACTTGAAGTGATGAAACGTGCCTCAATTCTCGGTCATCGATGCCTTTGATCATGCATGATAAGGTGGAGGTTAATTGAGTTTTATGTGTTTATTTGTGTGCGTTCATTGATATTGATTTGTGCAACTCGGCCTCTTTGGCCATCATGCATTGGGATGCGTGATTGGTGGCTTGAGAGCCGAGCACTACACTTCTTTGAGCTTAAGACATGATAAGGGGTGTAGTTGCACACACATTTTTTTGTAAATACACTACCATGCCTCTGTTAGTGCTCTGTTGCAGCAAAAGGAGAATCTACAGGAAGTAGTGGCCGATCGACCACTTTGTCTGCCGATCGGCTATAAAAATTGGCCGATAGCCATAAAATCTGGCCAATGGCCACTTCTCTTGGCCGATGACCTCTCAGCATGTCCATGAAGTGGATCAGAAGTACTTTCGAGGTTGGCACAATTTTTAGAAGTCTAAAACAGTGCAAACAGAGGCATCACGAGGCACGGTGGTGGATTTCCGGGAGGACACAACCGAGCATGCATCATTCATCATTTCGAGGCAGAGTTGTGGCAGCCTATTTAGTTTCTTACTTAGTTGGTTTTGTAATTTAATTAATTAGTTAAAGTTTTGTAATATTTAATTAGCTGGAATTAGTTAATTAGTTACTTGTAATAATTAATTAGCTTAGCGTAGCTAGTTAGTTGATTCATTCGGACCCTCTACAAAAGGGCACAACTGTTGTAATAAGGGCGCATGTGTGTGATGTATGTCTTCCAACCCCCATTTCTTTCTCCCTTTTATTTACCAGCTTTTGATGGTTAGTTTAGGACATATTTCAATTAGCATCCTTATGCTAGCATGTTTGCATCCATTCATCTATCTTGCATGCACCGGGCTCGGTGCATCATACAAACTGCATTGTATTTCAATTCTAAATTGAATACATGTTATCTAGTTGCATTTACATGCCATCTTAGAATAGCCGAGCCTATTTTAGTTACATTTTTGCATGTATTGCATTAGGAATCTTAACATAGCTAGGATCATGCATTGATTACTAACTAGCTTCTTTTTTGGCTCGGAGTACACTGTGAGTGTTTTCGCTTTAGCATCCTTGCATGTGTGTAAGTGTTGCCATGATAGCATGCTTGCCATAAGGCTAACTGCTTAAGTGATTAACTGCTTGAATGCCTGTGGGTGGAGGCTTGATTGCCTGGATTGGAACAACTCGATGATTGTGAGTTTCAAGCCCACTTGAAGTGGCAAAATCATGTTTTTCTAAGCCCACTTGAGGGTAGCAAAATCCGCATCTTAGCCTACTTGCGAGTAGCACCTTCAAACCATTTTCAAACAAACAAACATGAGATGTTTTGTTCAAATTTAGGCGATCTAGTCTATACATGTATGTTATGCGCATCACATAGTAAGCTAGCTAATAAACCGGAATAAGAACACATGTGTTTCAAAAACAACATATCATGTTAGTAAAGGCCGATCTTGGATCGGGCGAGCGGGAGTGCTCATTTCATGACCTTCCCCCTCGTACCTAAGTTCCCGAGCTGAGGCAACTTTGGTGATGACGGACACATAGCCTTAGGCACGAGTCAGGATTTCATAAATTTCTCAAAATAAAATATTTAGGTGGCGACTCTGAAATCTGGCAAAACAGTCCATGTTTGGCGCTTTTTTATTAAAATCGATTTTCAAAACGATTTGTTGGATTTGGACTCTTTGGTGATTTATCAGTCTTATATTGCGCTTTGTGAGATTAGATTCAAAACCGTGACATGAGTCCGAACTGTAGTAGCTAAGAACTTACGATTCACGGCCTCACGCGCGGAGCGGTGTTCCGGGCGGTCTACAATAATTTGAAAAAAAAAATTATTTGGTTTTGAATTTTAAAAAGAGTTTTAAATTGAATTTTGAATTTTTGAAATGAGAAAAATTATTTGATTATGAGTTTTGAAAAGAATTTTCAAATTTTAATTCAAAAAACATATATTTTTAACCAAACATACAATTTAAAACTCTATTGAAAATTTTATTCAAAACTCATAACTAAATTCTTTTTTTAAATTCAATTTAAAAAATTAAAAACTTCCAATTTTTTTATTTAAAATATAAATATTATTTTTTGTTAAAAAAATGTTCAGCTAGTGTTTTAAAATTACTTTTAATTGTATATTTAGTTAGAAATTTTTTTAATTGTTTTGTTTAAAAACATATTTAAATTTTTTAAAAAAATTACTGTGACAAATTAAGTTCTATTTTTAAAAAAATTTGTTAATTTTAGATAAATGGCCAAATAATTTGTCATTTTGGTCTACAAAAAATAATTTCTATATTTAAAAAATATCAAAAACAAATATTTTTTTTTTCAAATAAGAGATGCCAATTGTAAATAATAAAAAAAAAAATATTTAAATTTTTTAAAAAAATTACTGTGACAAATTAAGTTCTATTTTTACAAAAAAATTGTTAATTTTAGATAAATGGCCAAATAATTTGTCATTTTGGTCTACAAAAAATAATTTCTATATTTAAAAAATATCAAAAACAAATATTTTTTTTTTTCAAATAAGAGATGCCAATTGTAAATAATAAAAAAAAAAAACTGTTCCGGTCAACAAACCGGATGACCGGCCGGACTTCCAAGAGGATGTTCAGGCAGACAACTGGGTAGATCTAATCTGCTCTTTTCAAAATTCAAAAACTCTCTCATCTGTCAAACATGTTCTCAAATAAGTTTTGAAATGTAATATTAAAATTAATTTTAAAAAACTTCAACCAAACAAAATATTGAAACATAACGATAAAATCATAATTTTAGAGTTAAACCAAACATAGAAGTAAGCCTTAACAATGAAATAACTTGTTGCCAAGGGACACGACTTCAACAAAAGTGAGTCATTGTTAATTATGCAACTTCAATGTTACGTTAACTCGTACACTTCTGAATCTTTTAGAAAAGTTAATTAAAACACTTTTTTACACTACATTTTCTATCTATTGTGGCATTATATATTAAAGGTTCAATTATGTGCAAATAAGTGTTTGGTGAATAGTAATGACTTTTTAACTTTTTGAGTAACTTTTTGACTTTTTGACTTTTTTTAAACTACCCAAACTTGACCTAAGCCTTAACAATGAAATAACTTGTTGCCAAGGGACACGACTTCAACAACAGTGAGTCATTGTTAATTATGCAACTGCAATGTTACGTTAACTCGTACACTTTTGAATCTTTTAGAAAAGTTAATTAAAACACTTTTTTACACTACATTTTCTATCTATTGTGGCATTATATATTAAAGGTTCAATTATGTGCAAATAAGTGTGTAGATCTGAGTCAGACTTTCTTTGAAAATTAGTTTAAAATATAGTTTCTTGACTAAAATAAATTTACAAAAAAATAACTAATGCTTTGCTTGACATGTTTATGTCTTTTTAAACTTTATAATGGTTAAATTGAGTTTTTTGTGTGATAAATAAATTTGACAAATGATTTAAGATTTTTCTTGCAAAATGAACTTTTAACTAATAAACTGATGAATTTCTAAAAATCTAAAGTTTTAACTAATGAATTTTTAAAAGTCTAAAGTTTTTAATTTTTTATTTAAAAAAAGTCACACAAAAATTACTAAAAAGGATGAATCCCAAACCAGCATTAGCTTGTTTTGGGAAGATAGTTAAAAAATGACATTTTATTTTATTTTATTTTTTTAAAAAACATGTAAAAAATGACTATTGAATAACAACTTACATATGGCAAAAAATAAACATAGTTTAAGTTCCTTATACAAATAATTAAAAAAGGAACGCCACCAAAAATTAATTGCACACCAAACATTTGGAGGTTATATGAATGACCAAAATATCGGGTATGTTTGATTTATATTTTGAGATAATTTTTTTTTAAAAAAAAATTGGGAAGAGAGTTTAATTTTATTTTTATTTTTATTTTTTTGTATAGTTGTATATTTTGAAAATAGTTTTGGAACTTAGGATGATTTGATATTTTATTATAATTAAATAGATGTATGTAAGAGAAAAAGTGATTGAGAATGAAAGAGCAGATAGAAAAAATGATTGATTGATGTGTAATAGAGAGATAAGTAATTTTGGAATTTTTTTGAGAAATTTGTAACCAAATTTCCAAAAACATGTT